CTGGGGAACCGCTGCCAATTAGCTGGGTCACGGCTAATTAGGTGCCGCCGCGGTGTGCGGCGCTCCCGAGCGCGGGAGCCGCTCGGTGCGTGTCTCGGTACCGAGCTGAGGGCGGGGGCTGCGCTAGAAATGCTGCTGATGCTTCACTGTGCCCCAGCTCCCTTTCTCGTGTTTACTCAGCCTCGCTTAGCAGGTTTCCTCTCCTCCTGTCCTGGGCCATCCAGGCTCGTTTGCTCACAGCGTTTTTCTGCCTTTAAGACACGTCTTTCTCTCTTCCCCCCCTTGAGAGGGTCAGGGTCCGGTATTCTCTTTGCTAGGCTCTGTTCTTCTTCCCCTTGTCCGCGGTTCCCAAGTGACTGAACGGATCTTGATAGCAGGGCTGTCCTCCTCTGACTTGCCTGAATGTTTAATTATGTCTGAAAGGAAAAAAAGCTGCAAGAAGAGCAAGGGAGCAGTTTCTTCCACCTGATGGAATAATGAGGATGGAACAATTGTAAAACATGCACGGAGAATAAAATAAAATTTAAAACCATTTCTAATTAGTTAAAAACTTGTGTATTGACGGAAGAGTGGTCATTTTATCCTCAGGAAGACAGATTTTTTAATTATTATTCCTTTAATTCCAGTGTTTCCAGTGATGCCCTGTACAGCTGGGGTTTGTGTTACTGTGCTTCACACGGGTGGGACAGTGTCCCCTGTGCCCCCGCGCCAGGCTCATGTCACATCCCGCTCCCGGCTGCAGCTTCCATGACCCTCATGTCTGAGAAGACGTGCAGCTTGGTGGTGGGAAATCTGTGTCTCCCATCTCCTGCTGGGTAACCTGGGTATCTGCCTGCCTTTTGGCCAGAGTGTGTAAGATCCCTGCTGTGCCTGCAGGGAAACCTGATTGGCTTGACTGCCTTCTCCAGAGGGAATTCCCAAAAGAGAATTCACTTCAGCGTGATCCAAATCCCTTCCACTACTAGTAGCAAACAATTGCTTACAAATTACTCCACTGGATCCCACATCTCTGGGAGCCTTAGCAGGAGAAATAGTGTTTACTGTGCATTTCCTACTGAATCCAACAGGTAAAGCTGCGGATGCAGTGTTTGCCTGGCTCCCAGGACACGCTGCCTCTTGCCAAAAGGAGCTCCCGTCACGCGAGGCACGGCTGGGGAAAGACTCCTTGGCTCTCAGGTGCATCTGCCTGCATCTGCTCCGGCTGAAATAAAGGCTGTGAGACCAATACACAGTAGTTCTTGATGAAATTCTGTATTTTCTGTTATGGCAGGTTTGGTATGATTTGGGGTTTTTTTTTGTGATTATAATTGTATTAATTTAGAACATCTTGAAATACCTTCCAAAGCATATATTTGCCCCTAAACTACATCTGTAAAAGTTGCCCCAGCATTACCATTTAACCCCATGTGAGAACTTCACTCACAAAACTAAGAGCATCTACCTGCACCTCAGCAGAAAATCAGGCAGATCTTTGTCCCTTCTTTCCCCTGTAGAAGTAACTATTGCGTAGACACAAGTTTTACTGTTGCACTGAGAACTCCAGTGTTACAAATCCAGTTTCCAACACGAAGGGCAGGTCTGTAGTATGAAGTGCTGTTACGGTTTTTATTTTGCTTGCTCTGGTGAGATGTTTAAGGAGTGTGCTGAAGTACGTGTGGAAACTTCAGTGACTCTGCAGTCATTTTCTAGAAGAAAGTTTGTAGAACTGCTCTGTGGAGAAAAAAAAACAATTATCTTCATATAAAGTGGAAATACGAAGAAATTTGCATAGCAGTGTTTGAGCTGAATCACATGCCTTTTAGATTTGTCACAAGAAGAGTTTTCAGGGGGTGTTGAGCGAGGCTGTTGTAAATGCTTTGGAGTTTGGGCTGTATCTGTCTCAGCTTATGCACCATGAAGTAGGATGTGACCCAACACTGACAGGTACTTTTGGACTCCAGTGTGCTGCACCCGGGCTGGGGCAACCAGAAATATGAATACAGGCTGGGGGAAGACATGCTAGAGAGCAGCCCTGTGGAAAAACACCCAGGGGCACTCGTGGATGAGAAGCTGGATGTGAGCCACCAATGTGCAATTGCAGCCCAGGAGGCCAAGCACATCCTGGGCTGCATCAGAAGAAGTGTGGCCAGCAGACTGTGAGAGGTGATTCTGCCCCTCTGCTCTGTGAAGGTGAGACCTCACCTGGAGTGCTGTGTACAGGTCTGGTGCCCTCAGCACAAGAAGGATGTGGACCTGTTGGAATGTGTTCAGAGGAGGGCCACAAAAATGGTCAGAGGGCTGGAGCACCTCTCTTATGAAGACAGCCTGAGGGAGTTGGGGTTGTTCTGTCTGAAGAAGGGAAGACTGGGGTGACCTTGTGGTGACCTTCCAATACCTGAAAGGGGCCTATAAGAAGGCTGGGAAGACCTGACCACAAGGGCATGTAACAATAGGACGTGGGGGAATGGTTTTAAGCTTGAGGTTGGACATGAGGAAAAAGTTATTTAATATGAGGGTGGGGGATCACTGGAACAGGTTGCCTAGAGAGGTGGTGGAGGCCCCATCCCTGGAGACATTCAGGGTCAGGTTTGATGGGGCTCTGAGCAATCTGTTCTAGTGTGAGATGTCCCTGCTTCTTGTAGGGACTAGATGACCTTTAGAGATCTCTTCCAACCCAAAACTGATTCTATGATTCTATAAATAGGAGAAAACAATGAAGGGCTGAACTGCAGTATTTGCTTGGCTCTTGCCTTGGTGGCTGTGGGTCCTGCAGGCCTGCCCTGGCTGGCCGCAGGAATTCTGCACTAGCCCTCACAGCCTGGCCTTCCCAGTTGCCAATCTCGTGCTCTAAGTACACACCCTGCTCCTTAATACTTCATCATGACCTTCCTTCCCGTGACATGTGGGCTGCTTTCGCTCCCTGAAAGCCTCTCCCTGCGGCCATTCCCGGTGCCAGAGCCTGCTCCACAGCACCTGCAGCCAATCTGAGCCTGCTGCCTTCTCGGACGTTTCTGGGTCCTCCCTAGCTGTGCCTCCCACTAACACTACCAGCCACTCCATCCCACGGTGCTTCCAGCTCTGCCTCCCCTGCTGCCATCTTTGCTTTTAATCAGCTCACTCCAACTTTAATTTCCAGAACAACCCTTTCAGCTGCTTTTTTCATCTGTCTACTCCGCTGGTTTCTCAGGAAACATCTCACCCATTCTCCCTCTTCTCCTCTCACCCCTGGTATTTGTTCCCACCATGTCAGCTCTTGACTTCTGCTGCCACTGTCCAGGTGCCACAGAACCTTCTGGCCCCACAAGTTTTGTGCTACATGCTGACCAGCTGCAGTCTAAGTGCACAGAATGGCCAGGGCTGGACTGGTAGGTCAAAATCCTGTTACACTTTCCCTCTTCAGGGTATTTAGGCCAAACCTTCAGATGAGGTCTGGATGCTGATTGTGGCAGTTGGCAGGGAGTGTGGCCTCTGAGACTGTCTAGTGGCCTGGGGTGATAGAGGTGCAGCTGGGGGTGAGTGACTTAGTATGAGAGTGGACAGGCTGTGCCTGTGCTCCACAGACAGGCTTGGCTGTCTTCTCAGTGACTGGTCCTGTAGCAGCATTGCTGGCAGCTGGCCTTGGGTTGGGAAAGAGCAGCCCTCAGAAGTGGGGAGATTTAATGTCTCTTTAACTCCCATGCACCATGGGAGCTTTGTGTCTCACCACAGACCTTCCATCCCAACCAGGAGTCCTGCATGTGTGTTGAACTGCTGTACCCTCCCTCCTCTTCTCCCAGCCTGCCTTGTGCTCTGCCTGTGAACTGCAGGGCAGAACTCACAAAAACCACCTCTCCCAAAAATAATCTCTGCTTCAGAGGCTGGAAAATGTGACAGCTCGTTTTCATCTGCACAGCGATGCCGTGGGTGTCTGAAAGCAGCTGAGGGTGAGGGTGGCCAGGGAAAGGCAGCTCTGAAATGGCAGGAGAGTGGCAGCCGGGGAACTCGAGAGGGAGGACGGAAGGAAGGACGGATGGAAGGAAGGACGGAAGGAAGGGAGCAAACTGAGACTGGGGAGGGAGCGGGAGGAGGGCCGGGGGCAGCAGACAACGAGTTCAGGGCAGGAGAGGATTGTACAGTGTGGGGCTGGTCTCTGTTCCTGGCACGCCTTCTGCTGCTCATGTTCATTTATTAAAAAGTGGGAAAGCAGTTGCAGAGCTTTATAGATCAGATAACTGAGGAGGTGGAACATGTAATTGGCAACAAGGCAGCTTGTCTCCTTTTTTTCTTTACATTCTTTCCCCTTCCTCTTCTTCACAGCCTGTTTTCCTCACACATCTCAACCACGGGAAAAGCCTGCTTTGTTCTGGTTCTGCAGCTGCTTATTAAGAATACCAGGTGAAAACGAGAATTTATTTGTAGTTCATACTTCATTTCATCCATTTTAGTTTGCTTCACTAGTCTGATTGCCAGACAAAGAAAGTCCTATTTGGTTGGCAGCTCCATGCCTCCCTCCAGCCCTACATGAGACTAACCCCAGTTTCTGTGTACGTGCATTTTACACAGTATTGCTCATGGCCCTTTTTTTTTTTTTCCCAGAGCATTTGTGGCTGTTCCTGAGTCACCACAGTTCCCGCCCTGCCTGCTCAGTGCCGTTCAATGGGAGGCTTCAGAGGCTGTCAGCAGGGCTGATGTTTGCACTGCTGCCATAGGAGACAGCCTGGCAAGGGGAAAAAACCCTCAAATACCCCTTATGAAGCCTAGGGCAGGTAAGAGAAACTTCTTGGTAGGAGAGCAGTTTTCAGTGAAACTGATTTGCTCTGGCAATCACTGGAAGCAGCTGAAAGATAACTGTCAGTTCACATGTATTTTCCATTCAGTTTCCTAGAGAAGCTGGGGATGTGGTTTTATGCCACCCAGGAGAAAATAGGCGTGTCTGGGGTTTCCACTGGGAAGATGTTTAGGATTTTGATTTTAAAGCACTTGCAGGTTATTGATGTATGTCTATTACAGTATATCTTAAGTTTAACTTTCCCAGAAAACCACTTGTCCAGCCTGCAGATCATATTCTTATGCTGTGGAAAGCTAAACTGTCACGGGATTGGAAAGATAAATTAGGGAAGAGAACTGGCAACATGGCAGGTAACTCACTGGCCAGCAGTGTAACTGCAGTCCTGTCCAGCAGAGTAGGGACTGAGGCTATCACACAAAACTCCAGTCTCCTGAATTTCACCCTGCTCTTAAGAAATACAGGTCTGATATCTATGGCTTATCTTGGCTTTGGCATGTGGAATTGAGAAAGTGCTTAAAGCTGCTCCTTTATTCTAAACATCTGTCTTCTGCAAGAGCCATTCTCCACTTCTTGTGATGGGAAATCAGGGGGGCTTTTTAACCTCTGATGTCAGACATACACCTGTTTCACAGAAAACTGAGCTAGACAAAGGAGCCTAGGTGAGTAAATGGTTGCTTCAATGTCAAGTAAAGATAGTGAGAAGTTTTGTATTCAATTCCCAATTCAGGATCAGGTTGTACAGCAACCAGAACTTTCCTCAGGTCCTGTGGATGTCACAGGAACTGTGTTTCTTCTCAGGACACTGGATAGGACAATGGTACCAATAGTAGCCCTACTTCCCATCTATCATTTTGGAAGAGCAGTCAGAATAGAAGTTTGGTCACCTCAAACCAGCCAAGTCACATACTCGCTGCATGCCAAGAAATCCTAGGATTTCTCTAGAGTGGAAATCAGGAGTTAATATTGGAATTATTTGTTGATTCTTTTCATGTAGTTGATGCTTCACATTTTGCTTCACATGGTGTGACCATGCGTTCATTTTTATTTAGTATTTTGTGTGGTCTTTCTTACCTTGTGCAATGCTGGTGGTTTTGTTGGAGCCTCAGGAAAAGGGCAACATTGTTGGGTCCTATGTGTGATGTGAAGATAAACCATTTCACAAGAACGTGGAT